GAGGCAGTCACGTGTTTGGGTTTACAACCAATGAGAAGGCAGAACAAAAAGACTATGAAAAGACATACACACAGGAAGTAGCTCTCTTTCGGAGAGCTAGGACCACAGCAGGAGGAAGGGTGAGATTTTAGCTCTGAGCTCTGACCTCTGGGCTTTCTCTTTTACATTGGTTCTGTGTTTCTTATTTAATAAGAGGGTTGGTTACATCAACACAAATACCTTTGAGAATTAGTTGGTTTCTAGATGCTGCTCTCATTCTGGTCAGGAGGCCCCAGTGATAGGTGTCCAGTTCCCCCTTGCCTTGATCAGTGTTGGGGTTCCAGTTTGGTAGAGCTGAGGGCAACATTCCCTCGTCTCTTCTTTCAGCATCTAACCCAGTCACCCCAGGACCCTTTGCAGCCTTCCTGGCTTCAGTCATGATTCAATTCCTCTCCTATGCAGTAAACCTAGAAACTTCTTAAAACCAGCCCAGGTGAGTTGATGGATAAAGAAAATGGTTTCCAACATGCTGATGAGGGCCTGAGGCTTCTTAGAGAAGGGAGGGTTCTGGGTCTTTCAATTATATAAATCACAGGTTGAAAATGGAGGTCTGGGTCTCCTGTCCCCATCAGTCCCTTTCTCTGGCAGGAGGGCCCACTAGAGGGTGCCTCTCTAAGGAGGGAGAATAGTTGAAGCTAGCTTGTGGAGCGTAATCCAGCAAGCTGGGGTGTGGAGGTGAGGGCAGGGCAGGTTTCTTAGACTGCAAACACATGGTACCCTGCAGACACAGTCAGGTCTTGGACTGGCTGGATGTGTGGATTGTAAGGTGGGGGATCTCTTGCCTTCTCTTCTGCAGAAGCCAGAACAGAGTCCAGGCATTTTCCTGAGGTTTTTGCTCAGCCTCTGACACATTAACTCGGTGACTGAAACAGTTCAGCCAAGGAGGGGGCTCAAGGAACAGGCAATGCCAGTTTCATGTGAGGAAACTGGTCAGGGTGGCCAGGGTCCCCTGGGACCAGTTGCCAGACTCACTTGGCAGTTTGAGGGTCAAACAACCGTGTTTCTGGCCATTCTAGTTCACAGAGAGTGTGGAGATTCCTAGGAGACAACTCTGTAGCCCACCTAACAGAAGTTCTGAAAGTGTTACAACATGGAGTTCAAGGGAAACTTGGGTATGGTCCGTCCAATTCCTATTTCTTCAACAAAACTTAGAAACACAAATCCAGCAGACAAAAGAAAACAATGTAAAAAGATAGTAAGGCCACACAGTCAGAGATGACCAGACAAAGACGAACATGTGATGGCCACCTTTATTCATACACCAGAACCAGGAGGACAGGA